AAGCTTCTGCACAGTGAACGAAACCAGCTACGGAACGGCGGGAGATATTTGCACACCATCCATCTAACAAGGGACTGAAATCAAAGATCTGCAAGGAGTTCATACAACCCGATAGAAAGAAAACATAGCCCAGTCAGAACAGAAGAGAAAACAGGCACTTCTCCAAGGAAGACACACAGAGGCCAACGGGCACATGAAAAATGTTCCTCATCACTTATCGGGAAAAAATGCAAGTCAAGGCCACAATGAGATCCCACCTCACACCAGTGAGAATGGCCTGTAGGACAAAAACCAGAAAACACAAGTGCTGGTGAAGCTGTGGAGAGAAGGGAACCCTCTGACACTGTTGGTGGGAAGGTGGCCTGGCCCCGCCCTTGCGGGAAGCAGTGTGGAAATTTCTCACAAGATTAAAAGTGGATCTGCTATACGACCCAGCAATTCCACTCCTAGGTATCTACCCAAAGGGCATCAAAACACTAATTAAAAGGAAATTTGCACTCCTATGTTTATTGCATCACTATTTACAATATTCAAGTTATGGAAACAACCTAATTGCTTAAGGACAGAGGAGTGGATTCAAGACGATGTGGTGTACATACGCGATGGAATACTACTCAGCAGTCAAAAATGACAAACTCCTGCCATTGTGGCAACGTGGATGGAGACAGAAGGGATTGTGTTGTGAAATAAGTCAGGAGATAGAGAAATACCAGATAGTGCCACTGATATATAAGCGGAATATAGAGAAACCAAATAAAGGGTCAGACAGACAAACTTTAAAACAAACCCTTGAAAGCTGATCATAGAACTGAGGTATCCAGGGGGGTGGGGCAGGAGCAGGGTGTGGAGACAGACACCAGCCGAAGGGGGAGATCCTATACTTCCAGAATACTACCAACAATGTAAACCAATGGCTTTTCAATGAAAAATTTATTAAAAAACAGCGGCAACAATAATAAAAAGCCAAAAGTGGAGCTGGGGGGGGTTGGCTGACTGCCCCCACTTTACAGATGGAAACACTGAGGCCCATCACAGGGAAGGAGTCCTAAGTCCCACAGTGAGTTAGAGGCCTGGGCCTGTGACCTCTTCACAGCTGCTTCCTCAGCCTCTTCCCCTGCATGGGGGATGCAACCAAGGAACTTGTGAGACACCGGCCCCAGGGGAAAGGATGTAGAGGTACCCAGGCCACCGCTCCCCTCTGCTCCCCCTTGGCCCCGGATGTCATCCCAAGCAACTTCCCAGGAAAATGCCTGGTGTGGGCCAGAACGTCTGACTCCTTGAATCCTCCTTGGATTCTCTGTCAGGACTGCCGGAGGTGGGGTGGGGGCCGGGGCCAGGGTTGGGGGTCTGGGGCCAGCGAGAAGACCCTGCCCGCTGTTGCCTGCACCCCCAGCGACTCTGCCCCTGTCTGCTCCCGTCCCCCGGCTCTGCCTCCCCTCTTCAGCCAATCCATTTCATCCTTTGGAGATTTATTCGCAGTCTCGGAGCCTGGAAATAATTTGCTGACAAAGCCCGGTCCCCGGCAGGTGCTTTAATTGGTTTTGTGGGAGTCGGTCTGGGAGCATCTATTTAGAAGGAAACAGAAATGATGGCGGCGCTGCCAGTCCCTCCTCGGCAGTGGGGACCACCAGTGTGTCTGTGCGGGGGCGCAGGCGGCTCTGAGGGAGCAGAAGCCTGGTCACAGGGGACGCTGGTTCTTTCTCTGGGGGTGTGGCTGTTGCGTCCAGGGTGTCTGGGCCTGCAGGCCGCCCCCCTCCCAGCTTCTTGTCCTCACAGAGCTGAGTGAAGGTGTTGGGACGAGGGCAGTGGGGGGCAGGATTGGGTTGGGGCTGGGGATCCCCATCCTGCCTCTAGGAGAGGCTGGCCTCTAGGGGGCAGGGGCTTATCTAACACAAACCCCCTTTGTAACTCCTTGACTCAAATTCCCTCTATGGCTCCCCACTAGCCTCAGAGTGAAGCCACGATCCTTACTGGACATTTCAGGCCCTCCGTGGTCTGACCGACCTCTGATGACCCCCCAGCCTGCGCCCTTTGTTCCCACGTGCGGCTGCTCCCCACGGGTAGTCTCCAATCTTCCCTACCTGTACCCGGGTGCCCCCCGTTCATCCCGCCCTGTGTGAACCCTGCATGTGACCACCCCGTGGCTGAGGCAGCTGCCTCACTCTCATTTCACAGACGAGGACAGGGAAGCTCAGAAAGGTTGAGTCACCTGCCAGGGGTCACCCAGCAGGACTGGAAGCGGAGTCCAGGCCTACCCACCGCCCAAGCCCAGTCCCAGATGGGACGAGCCAAGCTCCGCCAGGCCTCTACGCCCCGTGTAGCCCCCTGAACTGCTCCAGCCTTCTTCCATGGCAAACTCCTCCTTACCCTTCAAAGTCCACTTGTGGTCACCTCCCTGGGAATCCTTCCCTGCCTGACACCCCCCACGTCCAGTCCTTCCTCTGGACTTCCCCAAGCCTTCCTCGGCTCCGGTGTCTGGGTCTGTCTGTGGTGCCGTCCCCTCCACCTCCTGCACCGCCCCGGGCGAGGGCGCCGGCTGAACTGCTGTTGATGCCGCCGCATGGGGACGGCAGACCTGGAAGCTCCGGCTGCTCAAAGATCCCGGGCCCTGGGCCTGCCTTGCCGGTCCCGGAGCAGCCCAGACCTCAGCTGCCCCGTGTGGCCGGGAGCAAAGCCTCACGTGCTGTGCCCTGGGTTCGCCCACCTGTGAAGCGGGAGGGCACCGACACTCGGGCACCTGAGGGCCCCAGCCCGGCCTGGGAGCTCCTGCAGGTGACGATGTGCTAAGACTCTCCCGGGCACGTGTTCGCGGTGGCTGCCCCCAGCCAGGGGCAGCACGCACAGGCCGGTGCTGAGGCCCAGCCAGCCCGGGCGCCGTGGGGTGGCCGTAGCCTGGGCCATAGACCAGGAGAGGCTCCGTCAGGGCGCGCGGCTCAGCTGTGCTGCCCGCTGCGCTGCGAGCCAGGCCACCCTGGCCTCCCCAGGCCGGGCTCAGCCGGAGAAGGGGAGAGACGCGGCGGCCCCGGGTGTGCCGCGAGGGCGGCAGCGGGCGCGCCCAGGGCCTGGCAGGGCCTGTGCGCCAAGCCTGGGGCCAAGGCTGCCGGGCACAGGGCGGCTGGCCGGGCGGGTCCTGAGGCCTCAGGCCGGACACCAGCCTCACCCACGGGGCCCGGGTCGAGCACAGCGTCCCCTGCCCGGGCGCTTGGCTTCCCCAGGCCAAGGCGGGGGCGAGGCCGGGCCCCAAGCCCGGCTTTCCCAAGACGCCGGGACGCGCTGTTAACCGGGAGCGGGGCCGCGGACGGGGGCGCTGTGGGGGCCCCGCGTTTCCCAGGCGGCCGGGGCGGGCGGGGAGACCCGCAGGCCGCGGGCAGGAGGAGGCGGCCAGGCTGGGCGCCGCGGCGGCGCCTGCCCCGAGCCCGGGTGGGCTGGGCCGGGCCTCGGTTCCCCGCGGGGAGCGCGGGCGCCCCTCCGGGGCCGTGGCGGAGGTCCCTGCGCGGGGCGGGGGGGGGGGGCAGGGCCGTCTGTCCGCCGTCCCGGGCTGGGCCTCCGCGGCCGGGCGAGGAGCCGGCGCCGTCCGGCCGGCAGGTGGCGCCACGAGGCCGCGGTTGGCTCCCGGGCTCGCGGCGGGGGGCGCGGGGGGCGCGGGGGGGCGCGGGCTCCCGGCTGGGGTCGGGTCCGCCTGGGTCGCGCGGGGCCATCCCGGCTGCCGTCGGTCCGCGGAGACCCCCGCGTGTGTTTGGGGCGCCAGGGGTCGGCTCCCGGGGGTCAAGGTCAAGGCCAAAGTCCAGAGCGGCGCGTGGGCCCGGGCAGGTGGACACCCCCCCCCAGCCCCCCCAGGGGCCAGACACCCCTCCCCCAGCCCCCTCCGCGGCCAGACGCCCCTCCCCCCCCCCCAGCGGCCAGACGCCCCTCCCCCAGCCCCCCAGGGGCCAGACACCCCTCCCCCAGCCCCCTCCGCGGCCAGACGCCCCTCCCCCAGCCCCCCCAGGGGCCAGACGCCCCTCCCCCAGCCCCCCCAGCGGCCAGACGCCCCTCCCCCAGCCGCCCCGCACCGCAGAGCCTCCCGGCGAGGGCGCCAGGGCGCGGCCCCCCTCGTGGGGTCCCCCGCGGGGTGGGGCGTCGTGCGGGGCGCAGGGCTGCGCGGGAGCGGGGGGGGGGGAGCTCGTGGCCGCGGGTGTGGCGCCCCCTGCGCGAGCGGCTGGGAAAGGGCCGCGTTGTGGGGCGTGCGGGGGGGCTGCGGGGGGTGCGCAGGGGGTGCGTGTCTGGGGGTCCCTGGGCGCGGGTGCGGGGCTGGGGGCGCTGCCTTTGTCCGCCCTCCTCCCTGCAGGGAAGGGGGGAAGGGCCCGCAGAGGCTGGGGAGTCCCTTCCTCCCCTCCACGCCCCACCTCTGGGCGCCGGCCCGTCCCCAACGGGAGGACCTGAGGGCGCGACCCCTCGGGTTCCCCTGGGCGGACACGGAGTTTCCTCGTGTGGCCGCTTCCCCGCCCACAGAGCTGCCGTTTCTTTGCGAGTAAAATGGGGTGCGCAGCTCCTCTCAGGGCAGCTCTGAGGACGCTCGGGCCATGGCAGACAGTCTGGGGGTACCCGGTGGGGGGCTGGCTGGCAAGCCGGCGGGCGCAGGGGAGAAGCCCCTCTGCGGCGGGGGAGGACCGAGGGCTGGTGGCGGAGGCCCCGGTGAGGCCGCAGGAGCGCGTGGGGTCAGCAGTGGAGGCCCAGGATCCCCAACCCCCCTTCTCGCCTACCCAGGTCAGGGTGGGGAGCTGCAGTTTCCCCGGGGACCCCCGAGCCCCCCCTCCTGCCAGGACGCAGCAATCAGGACTGAGGGTGGCAGGATCACTGATGTGCGGGGGTCGGGGCAGCTGTGAACCTCCCGGGCCCCCTCAGCCCCTGCCAGCCTGGGGTCAGCAAACCCACCAGCCACGGTGCTGGCCCCCCTGCAGTAGGTCTCCCCTCCTTCTGTGGCCACCCACTGCTCTCCCTCCCTCCCCCCACCAGGTCATGCGCAAAGCAGCGGCGGCCCTCACGCCAGACACCAGCGCACCCTCACCAGCTGCAGACCCCAGACACCAGCGCACCCTCCCAGCTGCAGACCCCAGCCCGACCCCCGGAGAGTCACCTGGAGAGTCAGGAGAGCTGGGGCTTTGACATCATCTTCAAATCATCGCAGCTGTCAGGAAAGCCCGTCTGCCCGGCTAGGGGAGAGGAGGACAGTTGAGCCCCGGGTGAGGCAGCCTCTCAGAGGAAGGAACCAGCGGGGCAGGGAGGGGAGCGCCCGGCGCAGGAGAGGGCCGGGTGTAAGGGAGATCGGGGCCTTCCACAGCCACGGCCCTGCTGTGCAGTCCTTTGGCCTGCACCCCGTCTGTGACCCCAGGGTGACAGCTGTCTGATGTTCCTGGTTTGGGGATATTGAGGAGGGAGGTGGCCGGAGGGGCACGAGCCCTCACCTCCCTTCCTCTGAGTGTCCCCCCATTCTAGCCTGCCTCACGACTCCCCCCATCAGCTCTGAGCTTCTTGGGGGCCAGGCCTGTCTGGTTCTTCCCATGGCCCCCCACCCCAGCAGAGCCAGGCAGAGAGAGGCCTGGGAAGAGTTCGAGGCTGCTGAATGCTGGGTGGGGGGAGGGAGGCATGTTTCTTTACCCAACCTAGTTATTTATTGAGCAGCTGCTGTTTCCCAGGGTCCCAGCCAGGCATCGCCAGTGCTCCCTCCAAGGGCTCCCAGCTCTGCCAGGGGCCAGCTACTAATTACACATTATTTGATTTTGAGGCGGACACAGGCTCAAGGCAGGGTCTGTCTCCCCACTTGAATTCCCAGCCTCTTTTCCTCAGAAGAGCGGGGTCTGGGCTGGGCTGTGTGCCAGGAGGCCCGGGCAGGGCCTGGCGTGTGGGAAGATGCTGCACAGCTTCGGACGACAGCCCGATCCATGCTGGGCGGGGCTGGCTGGGAAGGGGCGACCCAAGGTCCCTGTGGTGGAGAGGGATGGAGGTGAGCCCGTGTGAGAGAGACGGCAGCCATCTTTGCTGAGGGCACCCGTGGACACAAAGACAGGCACTGAAGGAACAAGAAGTGCGGGGTTTGCTGCCAGGGGCCAAGGCCCAGGCAGGCAGATGGCCCAGGACCGAGGGCACGGGCAGTCCAGCTGGGCCCGGGCCTGGGTCAATTCGAGGCCATCCTCCTCCGCCCCAGAGGGAGACCCTGCCTGCCTGGTGTTGAGTTTTGAGTGGAGAGGAGGGATTTTATGGCCTCCGTGAGGGGAAGCAGCAGACAGGCAGGGGGTAGATGGCTTTCCCGGAATCCCAGATCGCGCTTTAATAATTTGTTTCAGAATTAATGTCCATTCACGCCGTCTTCACTGTTCCAGCTCATTGGAAGATTAAATAAAAACCCGCGCCGCCCTCCCACCCCCCAAATGGAGTCGCGACCAGCCCCGTTCTTTCCGGCTGGGCTGGCTGCCTGAAGCCAGCGCAGGAAATAAATCTCCCCGAGAAAACCACTTTGCTCACACGATTTCAATCCAACAGGGCATAGTGGCCCCAGTCACTTCTTGTTTTATTTAGCTGATAATCTTTTATTGTATCAGGAGACCCTCAAAGAAGAGCCGTGTCTACAAAGGGCTGAGGCCTCCTCCAGCCGCGGGCCCGCGGGCCAGCCTCCCAAGTGTAGCCTGCGCTGTATTTCGCCTGTGGCAGTGCCTGGTACCCCGAAAGGTACCTTAAAGGGGATGGACCTGGGCTGTCCCTGGTTCCGGCATACAGGTCAGGGCCTCTGTGGGGGTGGCCAGGCCTCACCGTACCTTCTGGGAATCAGGCCTCGGGACCCAACCCAGGGAGGACCATCAGCCAATGAGACCACGAGGTATCATTCATTCATTCATTCACTCACTCCCTCACCCACTCAACAAATATTTATTGTGTGTCTTCTTTGGTAATAAGGGGTGACCTGACAGACAGACGACCGCCCTCCTCAGCCCCTCCCGGAGGAAGCCTGCCTCTGACGGCATCATCGGATGAACCTTTCCTCCATGTTCTCTGACTCAGGCATATTCATTTTCCATTTGGTTTTTACTTCATTTGGATACCAAGTAAGGAAACAAAGATATGAATCAATCATATTTAGAAATATTAGCAGGTAGCATGGTCTAAAAATAAGTAAAAACAAATGTCACGTCAGAGCAGCCCACGATTGGATAATGAGCATGAAAATCTTTCCAGTGGCCCTCTTTACCCCGGTGTCAGTTCAGCTTGTTAGGTGTTAATAACTTTCCCACAGACTGAGCTCCTGGAGTTTATAAATCAGACCTGGCGTGTCTGTCAGAACTCAACCTGGGCCCGTGGTGTTCCTGATCGTGCTAAGGTTTACCAAATGTTACGTAAATAAAGATTGGGTTCTGATTTCTTCAAAAAGTTACTTTTCTAATAAACCGCTTGTGTTGAAGTTAATGACAGACTTGCAAGAAGTTGTAAAAATAGCGTGGGAAGTCTCAGGTACCCTTCCCGCAGCTCCCCTCAAAGGTGCTATCTCGGTGCAGCTACAACATCAGAAGCAATCACGCTGCAACACGCCTGCTAGACACGGCCTGGCCCCGGCGCCACCGGGCTCTATACATTCTCATTTCTGTGTGTGTTTCTCTGCAGTTTAAACCCATGACCGGGGTGCCCTCGACTGAACTAGGTGGCAGCTGTCAGATGTCATCTTGTCCAGCGCCTGCCTCCTGGGCGTCCCCGTCTCTGCTGTCATCAGCGCCTTGTACAGGCTCCTGCTCATCCGCGCTCATTGAAGGGCTTTGCATCGTGACAGAGCTTCATGCCTTAATGCCAGCCTCATTCCGCTAGGGTGGTGGTGGAGTGATTGTGGCGACTGTTGGCACCCCTTTGCCCTGGTGTGACCATGTGGAATGTGCAGAGAGGGTTGATGATGCAAAATGTACCCGGGATTTGTTTTAATGAGGTGTGATAAGGGGACAGACACAGCACAGGCCTGGACATAGAAAGCAAGGTTTAGAATTCTGGCTCCCACGCGCAGCGGTGCGGTCAGGGGAGAGTGAGGGTGACATCCGACAGGGCCTGCCTGCGGGGTGGCTGTGTGAAGACACAGGAGGAGACCCACTCTCACAAGGCAAGGAGAGAGGCTTCAGAAGAAAACGCCTCTGCCTGCACTTGACATTAGACATCACCTTCAGGACGGCGAGAAAAGAAATCCTTTTTTTTTTTTTTAAAGATTTATTTATTTATGCACACAAGAGCGGGGGTATAGGCCAAAAGTATGGGGGGTGGGCGGTGAGAGGATTCACCAGAGCCAGAGTAGGGAACAGAACAGGCAGACCGACTGAAACACACTGCTGAGGGGAGCAGCGGGCGCGACAGGAGAGGTCTGCTGCGCCATGTGGGTTGCTCCCTGGCCGGCTGGGCATCAAACTTGTGCTGCAGAGGCTGCGGATTGCTTCATAGTGCGGTGCTTAACCCCTTGCGCCACCGCGAGGCCTTAAATCCCTTTTCTTGAAGCCTCTCAGTGCACAGTGCTTTGTATGGCAGCCCCAGTGAGCTAACCTCCCTTCAGTACATGAATCTGCCTTTGGGGGAGTGAGCGGGATGGCCCCGGCCCCCAGCAGCTGGTGCCAGATCAAATTCAAGACACCCAGTTCCATTTGAATTTCAGATAGCTGGTGAATACGTCTTTAGCATATATTGAATGGGACGCACTGATGCTAAAATGCTTTGTTCATCAGAAATTCAAACTCAGCTGGCTAGCCTGCATTTTCATCTCACCTGGCCTGAGACTCCCGCCAGGACAGCAGCTCTCAAGGACACCAGGCCAGTCCCTGCCGCCCACCCCGGGGTGGGTGAGAGCCAGAGGCTGCTCCCAGGCCCGAGCGCCTCTCCCCAAATGGTTCCCATCTCCCGCACAAACATATTTATTGGGCTTGATGGCAAACAGATTATGCTTGTCCTGGGAAGGGCAGCTCAGAAGAGAAAACCTTGAAGTCCGGGAAATAATGATGAGGGGAGTTAAATTAAAGTGCATAAAATCCTCCCAAGAGATAACGTCAGGGTGAGTTACAGGCCCGATAAGGGACTGGGGGCTCGCAGAGGGGCTCAGAAAGGTCGCTTGGCAGCACACGGAGGACCAGGAATCATAAATACGGGGCAAGATGCCCAGCCAGGGTCACTGGGGTGAAAATATTGGGGTCATTCCAAAAACAATTATCCTGCTTGGTTTGCTCTTTGGGTCTTGTAAATCTTTCACCTTTTATAAAAGATTTCTGGGGGAAAGAAGCACTTTGGAACCTTTAACTGATTTCTGTGGCTGATTCTTGGTGGTTCTGCTAAAAGAAAACAAAACGACAAAGGGGAGAAAGTAATTACCCAGCATCCTCAGGGGCACAGGGATGGGCCGACGGGCTGCTTCTTATTCCTCATTCTTATTCCTTGAGAGTTTAAGCTGCCTTGGTGTTTGGCTCACCTCAGTTGGAGTCTGGACACCAGTTAACAATTAATTTGTTCTGTTCAGTCATAATGGGGCTCTTGATGCTCAGAGGTCCTGTGTGGCGGCCATCTTAACTGCCGAAGAAGCCATCTTGAGTCACGCGTCAGCCATCTTAACTGGGGTGTTGTGTGTCAAGGCTCATGGCACAGCTCCCAGAACTGGAGGGTGGGTCTAGGCTGTGCCTGGCCTTGTGTTCTCTGCTCTACTGTATCCCATTTTCTCACTGTCTGTCCAAGGGACCCTGGTTGGAGCTCTGTGCCTCTGTTTCTATCTGGGTTCTGGGATGATTGGTAGCACCGGCAAAAGGCATCATCCCGCCCACAGGAGTTTATTGAGCAGCTGCTATGTGCTGGCCACAGTGTCAGACCCCGTGCCTCATGCTCAACCAGGTGCTTCGTCTTCAAGGCAGTCCTTTCCTAGTTTCTCTGGCCCTCTGGACAAATGTAGCCACAGAACTGACTCTCTCTCAGAAATCTCTCTGAACTCTATTTGCTCATTTAATCCCAGAAACCTGTCAGAAACCTATTGCTCATTTAATTCTCATGACCCTGGAGATGAAAAGCTGAGACTCACAGAGGCGCAGTGATGGTCTACATCACACAAACCAGGTGAGGTAGAGCTGGGACTTCAGCTCTGACTCCAGGACTTCCCAGTGTCCCATGCCTCTCGGTGACAACAATAAAGGGGTACGATTGTGCCGTATGGAGTCAGATGAATCTTGTGTTGCAGTTTCTGCCCTGCTCTCCAGCCTCTAGTTGTGTAGCCTTGGGTGCGTCACCGAGTGGTCGGAGCCTCCCTCTCCTCCTGCCACAGGGTGTGCTGCGGGGCCTCCAGAGCCCACTGCCGGTGGAGGCTGTTGTTCGTATGTGTATAAGAGAGAGTTGTCCCCAGGCATCTTTCTCCTCCTGCCAGCTCCCATCAGGATCTCTGCATCAAGCTGAGGGAGTATTAGCTGTGTGGACTTGGATCTCCTGTAGCTTCAAGCCGGACTGAAGTGTAGGGGAGAGTTAGGGAGGGGTCAGGGCTGCAGAGGAGGTGGTTATGTGTTGCTTGGCCAGACTATGCCTGCCCCAGACTGAACTCAGAGTATTGACATAGGAATTCATTCATTCATTCAATCATTCATTCATTCACAGCAAATGGGGAACAAGATAGACTCAGTCCTCCAGGTCCAAAACTCATCTCTAGGAGTGGGACACAGATTGGAGCCAGAGAGGCCAGGGAGGAGGCTGGTGATGATGGCAGTCTGGACAAGATGGAGAGGTCTGGAAAATCCCCATCCAAGTGCTTGGGGTAACTGAGGCTCAGACAGGTGATGTGACTTACCTAAGGTGGCCTGACTCCAGAGATGATACTCTCAGCCCGTACCTGACATGCCTCCCTTGGGTTGCCTGAAACAGCACAGCCCTGAGTCTCAGTCACTCACATTCCAGAAATGTATACACACGCTTTAGCAAAAACGTTGCTTGAGAAAACACTGCACACGCCAACCCCTTGCTGGACCCACTCACATCTGCAGGCTGGCTGTGCCCGTCGTGGTGACGAGCCCCTCCCTGGGGTCCGGCGCGGCCCTGTTCAAGCCCCAGCTCTGTCCTTCACAGCTGTGTGACCTCTGGGGATCGACACACATGAGCCTTGACTTCCTCACCTGTGAAACGGGATAATGACGAGGTGATCCTTAAGGCCTCGGCCCAGGCCCGGCCAGAGGAGGTTTCCACCGAGAGCACCTGCCTGGCTACAGAGACAGGGAGTCTGCTGGCGGCCTCTCTCTCCTTTGAAGAACTGGAGAGTTTCTGGAAAATACTCCTTGACCTGAAAAAGCCCCAACTGGACGCTCCTGTGGGTCTGCTGCAGACATGACTTTGCAAATCAGATGTGACAGGGAAATGTGTGCCAAGATGGTGGCCAGCTGTTCGGCTGTGGGGACGGGCTGCTTGGAGACCAGCACGGCCTCCTCAGAGAGCAGACGGCGCAGCCTGGCTGTGCCCAGAGCACAGGTGTGTGAGGGTGGGCGCCCCTGCCAGGGCGGGGGGAGGACGAGTGGGTGCTCAGGGATTAAACTCACGTGCACACGCAGTCACACACGCACACACACACACGCCCACTCGCGCATACAGGCTGTGGCCCCCACAGCCCCTCCTTCACGTCCATATTGAGGCGCTGGCCCGCGGGGTGCAGGCTTTGGGGCTGGAGTCAGAGCAGGGCCTTCCTGGCGGGGCCCAGCGCCTGCACCCGGGTCTTGTGACCGTGGAATGACGGAGGAGTCCAGCTTTGTGTGACTTTGAGGGAAAGAAAAGGTATTTAGCGCAGGGGCTGCCCCACGCTGAACGGGACGAGATCCCAGCCGCTCCCGGCCCTGCCCTCCGCTCCGGTCACGGCCTCTTCCCGAGTCCCGGGGGCCGCGGGGGCCGCCAGTGGCAGTAGCCCTGCCCGCAGCGCCGGGAGTGGGCCCGGGGACGTACACGCGGCCGCGGCGGGGCCAAGGAAGACCCTGCCCGGCTGTGCCTGCGGCGCTGGGGAGACGAGTCCTGCCCCGGGCTGGGAAGCCGGGCCCAGGCCCCGCCGTGCGGAGACGGCCTTTGCAGGGGGAGGGACGAGGCCCGGAAAGGGGCCCGCAGAGCCGAGGGAGGACAGGCAGTGACACCTCGGCCGCTGGCGACGCGAACTGATGAAGATGCGTCTCTGGCGCGGGAGCCGCGGGACCTCGCTGGGACCTGCCCCAAGGGCCCTACCTCATGCTAGGCAGGGACGCAGATACGTCCCTTCCCCAAACTCAAGCCCTTTCCCAACGTGGAACAAGCCAAGGAGCCCGGGGGTAACCAGCAGGAGCCCCACTTTCTGGTCAGGGGAGGATTTATGGGCTAACCCCGCAGATGACCATGTGGCAGGG